TAAGAGGAGAGAGCGACATGGACTAAATTAGTTGAATAAATTTTCATGCAGATGATAGAATTTAAATGTATTTGGATGATATTTAGATTGAGGATTTAGGTGAGAGATTTAGGTGAGAGAGTGGATGAGGTCAGGGAAAAATTGTAACATTAAATAAATATATTCAGAAAATAAGAGTTAAAAACAGTTTACATATTATATAAATGTCTTACATTCTGGTTTGTCTTTCATTTATGATCATAAGGATCAATGTTGCTATTCTTATTTTTAGGCTCTATGTTTGATAATGACAAAATTGTTTGCTTCACTTAGACTCCATAGTTATCTATTGCATGGGGAAAAACATTTACTTTCATACTTTAATGTCAACTTAAAACCAACTTAAAGCCTAACCCAAGATTTTAATGACAATTTAGTTTTGTTTTTTTGACACCAATAATTTTTTTATAACTAAATAAAGTTGAAATCTATATTATATTTACAGGTTTAAGATCATTCTGTCAAGACTTAGTCATCTGCATTAGAAATAGATAAGGTAGTCCAAATAAAAACAACCAGATAATCTAAAATCTAAATTTAGCTATGATTTTTCAATTTCTACCATGCTAGGCAGGAAAGATCCATATTTGATTGATTTCAGAATTCTCCTCTTTCCCTTCTTCTGCACACCCTCTGCAAGAATGACAGAGATATGTAACGGTCAAATGGAGGAAGCAGGAAAGAGAACAAGAATGAATAATCCACAAAGTGGATAAATTCTTGAATAACTGAAAGTTGAGCAGGAATTTTTCAATCTAATTTCTTTTAAAAAAGGAAGGGCAAAGAATCAGATAAAGTAGTCAATTATATCTTTTCTACTTCAAGGTATTAATATTCTGTTAATGCAACTTTGGTTAATTCCATTACATTGAAAGTTTTGTTTCTGTTTTAAGTTCAGGATGCAGAAATGTCATTTCTCATTTGACAGTATTTCTGTGAACATACTCAAAATAGTTCTGTGGTATGGTTACTGAAGTGAACATATTGGGAAAATATTACCATACTGTCTTAATTGAGAAGGTAAACATTTATTGGTATTATCAGTTATTTGTGAACAGAACAATAGTCCATTTTTAAGACTAAATACACCATTTTGACTATATTTTGCCATGTAATTATTTTAGAGTACGATTCTCATTGTTTTTTCAGCCTAGGTTTGAATCTTGTCTAAATATAATGAGCTCGAACCTCCAGGATTCCCAAAAGTGGACTCTTAATACCGTTGGAAGAGAGTTCCTTATAGGCCTGTGTTAGAAAGCTTATGTGTTGTCTCAACTGAAAAACAGGGAGTAGAACTTGAATTATAATGGTCTAAATATGCTTGACCCCCCCGCCGCATTTCCTACAGTTATCACAAGTATAAATGGTTAAAATAGATATGTTGTTAAAGTGGAGAATACGTATCCCTCTATTTCTGGATGAATATATTTGAAAATCAAAACAAAGTTCATGTTAGAAAATATGTGTGTGTGTGTGTACATATATATATATGTATATGCACATATCACAAATATAACCTTTTTTATAAATTGAAAACACTGTGTTTCAGGGAACAGACAGATCAGTCACAAAGATTGGTTGGTAACGGTGTGGATTCTATAATCAAATCTGTTATAATTTTAATAGGAAGGAACATAATGAAGTAAAAGGGAATAAAAGATATAGCGTTTAAAAATTGAATTAATTCCTACCTGTACTCATTCTCATCTATAAATACCCATTAGTATTTATATAAGTCAGCTAATCTTTGTTAATGTATGGTTCTTCATCCATAAAATGAAAATAATATTGCCTAATATATCTTCCTCACAAGATTATTAAGAGAATTAAGTTATTTTACACAGTGGCATAGAGAAGAGTAAGTTACCTTAACTCTTATTAATACATGAATTTTATCTAGTATATATTAGGCACTTGTTAAGTGCCAGACATGATACTAATTGCTTTACCTCCCTACCATCTAATACTCAGATCAACCCTGTGAATTAGACAAGAAATGAATAAGTGATGCTTAAATATTATATCATATAAGATTATATAGCTAGTTTAGTAACAACACTGAGATTCGTTCATGCTTCCAACCTATGGTTTTAACTCTTTGCTAAACTACCTCTTCATGTTTAGATTGAACTATGAGTTAAAGATATGCTCTATAACTTTTCCTAAACTCTAGGGCCCATATATTAGTACATATGGTAAAGTTTCCCTGGAAACGTTTTAGAGCATTTATCTCAGATACATGTTGTTTAGATATTGGAAAATTCTTTCAGCACACTAATTCCTACTTATTTGCTTTGTTCTCTTAGGTGGATACATTTTACAAATGTATTACCTCAAGCCAGCTCATTTTGATATTTGGTTCCTTTCTTGACTGAGACAGTCTGCTTCTATTTACTGTTGACCCTGAGTAACACAGGGGTTATGGGTGCCATTCCCCTGCACAGTTGAAAATCCACATATAACTTTATACTCTCCCAAAACTTAACTACTAATAGCCTACTGTTGACTGGAAGCCTTATCACATAATTTGTATATTAATTAGCCAATTGACACATATTTTGTATATTAAATGTATTAATACTGTATTCTTACAACCACGTAAGCAAGAGAAATGTTAAGAAAATACATTTACTGGGCGCCTGGGTGGCTCAGTTGGTTAAGCAACTGCCTTCGGCTCAGGTCATGATCCTGGAGTCCCAGGACCCCGCATTGGGGTCCCTGCTCAGCAGGGAGTCTGCTTCTGCCTCTGACCCTCCCCCCTCTCATGCTCTCTCTCTCTCTCTCATTCTCTCTCTCAAATAAATGAATAACTAAAATCTTAAAAAAAAGAAAATACATTTACAGTACTGCATGTATTTATTGAAAAAATTCATGTATAAGTGGACCCTTACAGTTCAAATCTATGTTGTTCAAGGGTCAACTGTCAACTGTATTTCTAATAATTATAGATAACATTTATGCAGCACTTTGTGCCAATTACTTTATCTGCTTTATCTCTCTATCCTCACCGCAACTCTCTTTGAAACCATTCATATAATCACCAATTTTCAAAGTAGGAAACTAAGACATAGAACATTTAAGTGATTTTCATAAGGTTATCCAGCCAGTAGGTGATGAAGATGGGATTCCATCTTAATTCAGTAGACTCTGCTTTGAACAACTTTAAGTTTGAACTGCAAACAACATAATAAAAGTTTTTAAACAAATAATTTAGTAGTATTTTCACACAACAGGGAATTCCATTTTCAGTCTAAGATAAAGAATTACAGTGTTTTTCTTAAAATCATTTTTTAATTTGCTTCTGTTTCCATGTCTTGGTTTATACATAACTTAAGGAAAATTCATCCTAAGGCAAGCACCTGTAGAGATAAGGCACCAGGTACGCCAGTATGCAATAAGTCCAAATTGTTAATCAAACAGAAAAAGGTAAATGGGTAGATGAAGTCTTATCCCTCTGTTGTTTGCTGACATCCAAAGTAAATATAAATACTAAGGGAAAATGTTGAGGACATCTCAAGGATTGACTTACTGACTTCTTTGCCATTTTATTAATGTCTAGTTAATGAGGTATCTGTAGGTATTATGGCCTTTCCAAAAAAGAAAATTGGCTTTTCTCATTCAATTTGTACATAATGCAGCTTTTACACTTCCTTCGGTTCTTATTAAGAAGCTGAAATACTTCAGCAATAACTTTAGGACAGCATAGTTTCTGATGAAATTTCACATAGGGAGAAAAAGCATGAGAAACATCCCCATATCATCTTTTATACCCTTCATTTGCAGTGGATAAGTGACCTGTCTTGGTTTGACTATTTTCCTGCTGCTTCACTGGGCTTCAAGGTTTTGTGGACATGGTGGTCTAGGTCAATGGAATCTAGTAAGGTGGAAGGTTTTCTTTCCTGTGTATCTATCATGAAAAAGTTCAACAAAAACCCACTGCAAAATGTTTCTTATCCTTTTGTCAGATATGAAGTAGTGAGCAGGACTAGTTCTTTATGGAAATTTTTACACCCTTAATAATAATTTCAAAAATGTAGAGCAGGTAGTACTGCAGGCATATAGGGATAACTTCATATTTCTGCCTTCTCTTCTTTTATAGGACCTACTATATTTGATTCACTTGTATCAGTTGAAATATCCTCCACATCTCTTATTTCTCTGACCCTCACATTTATGGATTAGGTTTGTGGCTTACTGATTTTCAGTTTTGTAGAAAGACCTATGTTTTTCTGTCACATAGCCTACAGCACAACTTTGACAGCAGATGAGCAGTTCTCCAAGGGCGATGAGCCAGCCTGGCTATCTCAGAGACTCCAGAGAGGACCCAAGGAAGAGCTGCTCACCTCTTGACCCTTTCAGGCAGATGCAGAACTACACTCTGCAACCAATAAGGAAGAACTGCATAAAATTTGTTAGAGACCCACATTAATTTGGGAATATATACTGGTTTTGTGATATATCCTTAGATATTTTTCACATGCATGTGTTCAATCTTCCCATCTTATAAAATAAAAGAAACAAATATTTTGTCATCTGTTTTCTTTATATCTGCTGATATCCCCTTCTCCCAGTAGCAGCACTTAATGACCAAATACCTAATTAATTTTATTGTTTTAATTATATAGACCCAAGATCTATCTTATGCCGAATATACAATTGTCTTCAATTTTATATCCAATTTCCTACTATTACTGTGATAAAATATTACTTAAATTTAAATTTTATTTTTAAAATGTATATATTATTTTTAATATGTATATATTATGTAACATTATTATGTAACACTAATATATTATTACAGCATTATACTTACTTAAATGATTATCTTAATGATGTATTGATACTATATCTATACTGTATATTAATTCATAGTTTTTTTAATTATTCTTAATATTAGAACTATAATTTAAAGAATTTTTGCTGGGACATTTTCATGTGCTTTTTTTTTCTTTACATTTTAGGTGTACAAGAATTTCCAGAAAACATTAAGTGCTGTAAGTGTTTAACAATTATTGAAGCCAGTGTCAATCCCATTTCTAAGTGAGTATGAATGATTACATTTTATTTATATTTATGTTTCCATTGGATAGTAATGTACCCAGATAAAGGAAATTCACATAATAAATGAATTTTAAATACCGCATTTAAAATTCAATTTAGGGCGCCTGGGTGGCTCAGTTGGTTAAGCGACTGCCTTGGGCTCAGGTCATGATCCTGGAGTCCCGGGATCGAGTCCTGCATCGGGCTCCCTGCTCGGCGGGGAGTCTGCTTCTCCCTCTGACCTTCCCCCCCCCATGTACTCTCTCTCTCTCATTCTCTCTCTCAAATAAATAAATTTAAAAAAAAATAAAAAAATAAAAAATAAAATTCAATTTAATAGAATGATGAGGAAAAATAATCAAATCAGAATAGTTTAATAAAAGATGATTAAAAACAGCTGAATAATGATGAAGGTCTAACTGGCACGAGATGGCATTACTTTGAAGTTAACTATGTCATCATTCTGTGGTTCTCAGGCAACATTCCATGAAAGAGCACTGAAATGAAAGAAACAGTTATTAGTTATGATCTTGGTAGAAAATTAACATCAAGGATCTAATGAAAGTTCAAGAGAGTACAAGAGTTTGAGATATCGATAGGTGCATGAAAATAGCTGATCATGTAGTTCCAGTTGCAAAATGAATTAAGTATAACCAGAAAAAGGGACTATTTGTGTACAAGGAAGAGTGGAAAGAGAATTCTATGAGGATAACAGAATGGAAGACTTGGATGGTAAAGTTGTTGTGATCAGAAATGGGGCATTTGTGGCTTATGATCAGTTAGTAGAGAAATGCCATGGGAAGATGAGACCCAGCATGTGTCAATGTTGGCAATTATAGTTATGTCATAGGGATGGTGTGTGCTGTGCTATCAAATAGGTCAAGAAACATTGGAGTGAATGGATTGGATAAGTCACAAATCTGAATGTTAAAGTCACTTAACAATAGAAGTGGACATAAAACCTGGAACAGTAGCAGCAATATCTGGAAGAGGTTGAAACAAATCAGTGGTATTGGGACGCAGATAATGAGTCTCAGTAAGACTAACATTATAATTATACAAAAACTGACAGTAGGATTTGAGAAAAAACCTTAAGTCATCTGTTTATATTAAATTGGGGAGACTGGGAAAAACTGAAGCCCACTGGAAAGGCATTTAATGAGTGGAGTGTTTTTTAGAAGAACAAAGGAAATTTATCAAAGGGAGTTTGAAGGGAAATTTTTCATCAGTACAGTTGAGAAGAGGCTGTTTCTCTATGGGTCATGAGAAGAGGCTGTAGATGAGACTAGGAACAGAATCTAAAAGAAGGAGATAAAGTTTAGGTGGAGATCTTTACAGTGAATTGTTTGTAAAATAACTTAAGGCCTTTAGTAGAAAGTGTGGAACATCAAGAAATAAAATGTATTTGAAAGAGAACAACTTTTCTACCTCAAAAGTAGAATATGGAAGAGAAAAAAAAACTGTGAAAAGTATTTTTCAAAACTCTTAAAGCAGAATGCAATTCTCTCAACAAAGAGTAGACATTACTAACTTTTCACATCAGGACTACAACCATATCCTTGACTTAAGTCATAATCCAGGGCAGATGATGAATTGTTTTGACTTCTAGTTCTTTAATCCTAATAGCTCATCTTATTTAGAAATCATGATAAGGTCTTTGGAAGTGGAAATCAGATGATAATTTATATCTTTATGAAGCTTCAAAACTATAGTTTTATTGGCGGTGTCTCTGGATTCCTTCCATATGTTTAGCTTTTTAAAAGATGAACATGACTTATTTCATTAAAAAATGCCTAACACTGAAAGCATTAAGTGGTTTGGGAATTCATAAAAAAATTACACAAAAGTCAATTTAAGTAGTATATTAATTTTAAAGATTTTTTAAGATATACTTCATATACAGTAAATTTCACCTTTTAGCTGTATGGCTCAGTGAATTTTGACAAATGTATACAGTTGTGCAACACCACCATACTAAGATATAGACTATTTCCATCTCCTCAAAAAGTTCCTTCAGCTCAGTCATCCACTTCTCTGATTTCTATACCCATGGTTTTGCCTTTTCCAACATGTCATATAAATGGTATCATACTCTTGTGTCTGACTTCTTTCACTTAACACAGTGATTTTGAGATTTATCCACATTGGTTCAAGAATCGGTATTACATTCCTTTTTATTTCTAGGTAATATTCCATTGTATGGAAATACCACAATTTATTATCTATTCATCAATTGATAGACATTTAGGATGTTTGATTCAGCATATGTTTTCTATTGGGTAAACACCTAGGAGTGGTATACTGGGTAATATGGTGCATGTATGCTTAACCTATAAGAAATTTTCAACCATTTTCCAAAACAGCTACCCCATTGTCTTTACCATCAGCAATTTATTAGAGTATCTGTTGTTCTTCATCTTTGTCAGAATTTGGTGCTATCCAGGCACCTGGGTGGCTCAGTTGGTTAAGAGTCTGCTTTCAACTCAGGTTGTGATCCAGGGGTCCTGAGATTGTGCCCCAAGTCTGGCTCCCTGCTCAGTGGGGAGTCTGCTTCTCCCACTCCCTCTGTTGCTCCCCCTGCTTGTGCTGTCAAATAAATAAATTTAAAAAAAAGAATTTGGTGCTATCATGTTTGTTTTTTTTTTCTATTTTTACCAACATACCTCATTGTGCATTTCACTGTAGTTTTAATTTACATTTTTAATGTCCAGGTAACATGTTTTCATTTTCATGTATTTATTTACAATTTGTATTGCTTCTTCAGTAAAAGTTCAAATCTCTTGTTCATTTTTTTTAAAGGTTTATTTATTTATTTTAGAGAGAGAGAATGCCCAGGGAGAGGTGCAGAGGGAGAGGGAGAGTCTCAAGCAAACTCCATGCTTAGCATGGAGCCGGAATCAGGCCCCATCTCATGACCCCAAGATCACAACCTGAAATGAAACTTAGACTCAGATGTCTAGCTGACTGCACCACCCAGATGCCCCACATCTCTTGTTCATTTTTATTGCCTTTTCTTCTTATTATTATTGAATTATAAGAATTCTGGGGGTACCTGGGTGGCTCAGTTGGTTAAGCCTCTGCCTTCGGCTCAGATCATGATCCCAGGGTCCTGGAATCAAGCCCTGCACCTGGCTCCCTGATCAGTGGGAGGTCTGCTTCTCCCTCTCCCTCTGCCCCTCCTCCTTGCTTGTGTTGTCTCAGTCTCTCACAAATAAACAATCTTTTTTTAAAAAAAGAATTCTTTATATATTCTGGCTAAAAGTCCTTTATTTGTATGCAAATAATTACTCCTATGACTTATCTTCTCATTTATATATATTTTTTAGTTTTATTATGTTATGTTAATCACCATACATTGCATCATTAGTTTTTGATGTAGTGTTCCATGATTCATTGTTTGCGTATAACACCCAGTGCTCCATGCAGTACATGCCCTGTTTAATACCCATCACTGGGCTAACCCATCCCCCCAACCCCTCCCCTCTAGAACCCTCAGTTTGTTTCTCAGGGTCCATAGTCTCTCATGGTTCCTCTCCCCTCCTCCAAATTCCCCCCTTCATTTTTCCCTTCCTCCTATCTTCTTCTTTTTTTTTTTTTAACATAAAATGTATTATTTGTTTCAGAGGTAAATCTTCTCATTTTTAAAATAGTGGCTTTCAAAGAGAAGATTTTAATCATATATTATTTTATTGGTTTATGCTTCTTCCTGTATAAGTGATCTTTGCTAAATTCATAGTCTTAAAGATTTTTCCCTATGCTTTCCTCTGGAACTTTTGTAGTTTAGGCTCTACACTTAGGTCTATGATCTATTTATAGCTAAATTTTAGGGGCACCTGGATGGCTCAGTCAGTTGAGCATCAGGCTCTTGATTTCAGCTCAGGTCATGATCTCAGGGTAGTGGGATCAAGCCTGCATCAGGCTCCTTGCTCAGCTCAGAGTCTGCTTGTCCTCCCTCCCTCTCTGTTCCCTCCCCCTGCTTGTTTGCTAGCTTGTTTGTTTGCATATGAATATCCATTTATTCCATTACCATTTGTTGAAAAAATTATCCTTTCTTCATAAAATTACCTGAGTACTATTTTTTGTAAATCAATTGATCATATGTGTTTGGATCCATTTCTGAATTTTCCATTTTGTCCATTAATCTATATGCCTATTCTTATATCAATTCCATACTGTCTTAATTACTATAGCTTTATGGTAATTCATACAATCAAAGAATGTGAGTCCTTAAACTCTATTCTTCTTTATTAGAATTATTTGGGCTATCTATACCTTTTGCTTTTCCATATAAATTTTATAATCAGCTTGCTATTGTCTACAAAAATGTAAAATCCTGCTGGAATTTCAATAGAGATTACATTGAATCTATAAATCAATTTGGGCAGAATTAGCATCTCAAAAATATTGAATATTCCTATTCCTGAGAATAGTATATCTCTAAAGTTACTTATATCTTTTAAAATTTCTTTTATCAGGGTGCCTGGGTGGCTCTGTAGGTTGGGTAGTGATCCCAGGATCCTGGGATCCAGCATCATGTCAGGCTCTCTCTGCTGGGCTCTCTGCTCAGCGGGCAGCCTGTTCTCCCTCTCCCTCTGCCTGCTGCTCTGCCTAGTGTGCTCTCTCTGTGCCAAGTAAATAAGTAGAAATCTTTAAAATAATAATAATAAAATAAAATTTCTTTTATCAATGCTTTGTAGATTTCAGCATATGAATCTTGTATATGATTCATTCATCCTATTCCAAGTATTTCATGTTTTTTGTGCAATTGCAAAAGATTGTTCCATTACTCAATTATTTATTGTTAGTATATAGAAATATAATCAGTTTTTCTTTATCAATTGTATATCCTGCAATCTCACTAAATTCACTTATTTTAGTAGATGTTTTGTAGTTTTGTGGCTATTTCTCCCGTGGACTATCATGTCACCTGTGAATGTAGACGGGTTTTTTTTTCCATCATTTTCAACCTATGTGCTTTTTATTTGTCTTTCTTTCTTTCT